CAGATAGAACCGCAGCTGCTAGACCAGGGCCGTAACAAAAACACGACTGAATAATTGTGTTTTCAGTGGGATGAAGTGATGACGGAAGTATGGAAGTGGAGAGAAGTAAAAGCCGTGCAGAAAATGTGATGGAAAATAACTTTTTACCCAAAAAATTATTAAAATTGTCAAGGAAAAGTCATGAAAACTGACAAACAATAAATGCCAAAATCCAACTCAAATCCAGATTAAAGCCAGAAAATGTCATAATTGTAAAAGGAAACAACACAATCTTCCTCTTGAACCTGAAAAGTGAATCTATCAGTAATGAATCGCACACTTGCTCAAATCAGTTCACTCACAGGTTTTCCTGCAACAATCTTCCTTTTTTATCTTGTTCAGATGATCTAATAACGATGTCTTTAAAGCAACTGACTGGAGAATCATGGGAAATGTAGGCACTTTCAAATTTTAACACTTGTGGCCACTGTTCTTGTTGAGCTACTGAATGAGTAAAAGTTTCTGCATCTCATACAGTATCTCAACAAGACCGTCCTTCCGTGTTCATTAATATTCCTGACACGCTCTTGTAAAGCTCAAACAGCTCTCCAGTGCAAACACGCAACAACTGGGTCCAAGCTGCAGACGGGTTTGTCTAAGTTTCATGCTGCCTTCACACTTTTCTAACTTTTTTGAATTAATGCTCTCCAACAACTTTACGCTCTGATGTGCCCTTCTAAAAAAAGAAGCCCGTGGGTCAAGATGCTTGGTGCAGATTGCCAGGGCCCAGACTCACTTTTATAATAATCACTTACCGAAGCCTGACCTTACGTGTCAAAGGTAAGGTGCGAAGTGAAGCTGAGCATGACATTTATGGGTCATATCTGCCGTAAATGATTGGAGCGCCCTTTGTCTTCATGGGGAGAGTTAATGGGGGTGTCAGGGAGAAGGCGGGGCCGTGTCTCACTGTGGAGAGGCAGAGAGAGAAAACACAGAGACGAACATGTGCATACGGAGGGAATTATACTTTAAATTTAGCCGCTCGTCCTCCTCAGAGAGGCTTCAGAGAGACAGAAGAAAAGGGAATCAGCAGTTTAGCACCACTTGTGGTCATCAATAGTCATATTGACACTCGGGGGAGATAAAATACGCGACCTTTCGGTAACGTGATGGTTTCCCTAAACAATGGCCGCCGCTGCCACCAAGTGTAGCAATGGCACAATAAAGGTCAGTGTGGCGTGACCTTTGTGCAGAGTGTCACCTTGCTGCTGAACACACAGGACCTGTGTCTGGATGGAAAAATTGCCCTTTAACACTCCATCATGATTGATCTGCTCTGAAGATTTTCCCCAGTCTTCTCATTCAGTGAATATTAACTAAACCGCTATCTCTGAAATTACACAGTTAATGTAGTGTCTTTAAAAAGAAACCACTCATTAGGAGAGATTAACACCCTGTAATGTAGTCACGATAATGGTTGGCATTCTACCTAAGCTTAAATAATATGCAGCAAGCGTAATTACTGACACCATGAAAGTTTTGCTGTGCATGCATGTGGAAGACTGAGCAACCATTGTTTGACTGCCACTACTTTTAGATTTCACATTTTAATTAAAAACTACTTTGAACACAGCCCCAGGAGGGAATCACTCAGAGAGAAAATCCAAAAAATTGTAAACAAAACATTATCTAAAAATGACAGCAGCATGCATTTTCCCTCTCCGCCTGTCTTGCTCTCTTTAAACACACACACACACACACACACACACGTACACACACGCAAAATGAAACAAGGTTTGACCCAGGGGCCATTAAACAGCCATTACTTCAGCTGACTCACCTCGTCAAGGAGCAGGACGGCCCAGGGCACAGTGATGCACTGCAGGTCACGTAAAGGTTCAGTTACTGCAAAATCTCAAAGGTTAATTCAAAGTCAGCACATTAATTCTTTAGTAAATCATCCTTAGCTCCTAATTATTTCCCTTCCACATTAGACTGTCAACAGTCAGCGAAGGTAAGCTCCTCGTCCTGTCCTCGAGCCACCTTGGAACAGTAATGAGTTAACAAGCTCAAGTCCAGGCAAGTCTCTGATTAGCCCAATATGATGAGCTTGTGGATCATAATGAAATTGGCTCTATTCCATTTTCAACAAGAGCCGGCAGGTAACGAAGTTGAAGAAAGTCTCCAGCCCTCTGCCGGCTCCTGCAGACGTTGGGAGCCACCGAAGTGAAGATGAATTAATTCTGTCGGCTCTGCTCGTCAGACGTCACTGTTAACGGACATGTGTCCATATTTATGGATTTTGGCTCAAGGGTGAAAGGTATATCTTGGTTGTGATTTTCAGTTTTGCAAGGTTTATTAAATCTGGCTGATGGACTGAGATGCTTGTGATTTTCAGCTTCCTTTCCAGTCCTTTAGCACCACTCGGTGCCTCAACCGGGAAGTGCAGAGGTTAGAGGGAACATGGGCAGTGCACAGCAAAGACCTGACATGCAACGTGCACGTATGTGAAGTTAAGGATGTTGCTGAGGCTGTTGTCAGAGGCTTAAGGTCAGGCACATGATCAGTGAATCAAACTTAAGTCCTTCTCAAGTGTAGGTGAAGAAATGTTTGTGTGAGTAAAGGGCGGGAGAATCAGAAGAAGTGCCAGGAAACAGTGTCAAACACCAGAAAAGTGAGACCATGCTGTGACCATTTCTGTGATGAGACATCTGGGGGGGTTTTTTTTCCCTTTCCTCCATTTTTTACCAATTTTCCTGTCAGCATGGTTGTTGTGTGCCCTTCTCCACGACCACATTTACCATCCACCTCGAAAAAAAACACACAAAAAAAAAAACAAATAAAAAAATCAATCCCGTCTATATTTGTTATTTTAATCTTGTCTGACATTTCTTAAAAGGTTGAGGAATGCTTTCAGGGGACGGATGTAGATTCTTTTAAAATCTCTTCCTCTTTTTGAAGCCTTTCAAAACAAATTGGCTTCCTTCTTAAAAATCCTTGGGGCTAAATGTCAAAGTGTTCCTCGAAGAGTTGGAACAAACAGACACTGAAACGTATTTTGTAATGTTTACATACTTCAGTAGGAATCAAGGGGAACACGACATTAACGCGTTAATGTTGCTTTTATTCCTTAGATTTTGAAGGTGGGGATTCCTTTAAGTTTCCTTTTTTTTTGGTTACCTGACAGGAAGTCATGTGACTGGGTAATCAGCTCACCTGTATGGTGTTGGATGGTGTGCTGAAATGTTTGGACCTGAGAAGAGATGCAGGAGTTTTGGTCACGTTCGTGCAACTTCTGAACCTACACATCCAATATTTGGACACAAGTAAGAGCTGGTGAGTTTTACTGTGTTTATTCATCAAGTTAACACAAACACAAAGGGGATAAGTAGAAAAAAATTAAACTAAATTAATGTCATATCTGGTGAGGAGGCCTCTTGATGTTTTCTTTTTTTAATAGATTACAACCTTGTTTGAATAAACTCAGCAAAATATGAAGAGTGATGCTTTGGTTAAAAAAAAAAGAAAAAGAATCTATGCTCTTCTGCCTCACTCTGCTCCTTCAACTCATCTTCTCTTTAAATCACACTCACTGTTGTTTCAATCAATCACACAAAAAATATGATGCTGCCAGTCCCACTGAAGCTACCGTAGATTTTCAGCAATCCATCATCCACGGCGTATTAATCACAGACTAGCTGCCATCCACGTTCTGAATTAGCTTTGCAGAACGGAACCCCCTCTGAGATAATCACTTTTTCATCACCGGCGATGTGACGTGTGACAAATGCAGATGTGGACGTGACGGGTAAAACAAAGGACAGATGTATGTGTGTGTGTGTGTGGAGTGTGTCTCTATGTTCAGCTGTGGCTTCAGTATGGTTTTGTGCATCAGGTCTTATTATTAATGTGCTGCTGTTATTGCATCTAATGTCAGTTTGGCCTTCAACATCTATTTAGTTTTCTAGTGCAAGTCTTACAATTGGAGTAGGAAAAGAACTGTATTTAAGTATGTGGACCGATGCACATTATGAACCGTTCCGACTGGATTATTTATCTGACGATACACTTCCTGTTCCATAAATTCATCCCTATTTGATAGCTATCTCTAATTTTCTCTGGAGCAGGACAGTGTTTGAAAACTCTTTGGATTTCAGAGCCACTCCTTGGTTAATTGGAAGGTTGAAACGGCAAAGGCGGCAGGCAGGAGAACTGGTTTTGCGATCTTTAAGAAACCGTTTTTTTTACACCAGGTTCAAACCACGAGTTAAGGTGCTTAAAAGATGAAGCCCACCGGGAGCCGTCATCTAGTGGAACGTTTTCTTTCTTCCCGGCTCTGTATCTTAGTTTGACGTTGTGCATTATGTTGTCTGAAACTTGATGTGTGCTGCTCTCTCCTTAGCCATATGCCTCCCTCCCTCCCGAGTCTCAGTGGTGCTAACCTGGCTGTCTTCTGAAGAAAAGAGGGGAAAAAAAAAAAAAGGGGTGTGTGTATTTGCATTATACTGACTCACTCTAGGGGCTTGTCCTCTTGTGAATGGTGTGTACGCTTCAAGTGTTAAGATTTAGCGCCAGTGAAATCGCGGTTGCCGGGTAAGGTCTGTTGGTTTTGAGTGAGACTGACAAGCGAGTACATTTGCCTACAGATGCGGCGCTGAATGCCAATCTGAATCACAGAGACAATACTCATGTTGCAATGAGCACACACTGCAGGTGAGTGAGTGTGTGTGTGTGTGTGTGTGTGTGTGTGTGTGTGTGGTGATGTTTGACAGTGCTGCCATCTAGTGGTGTGATCTATGAAGTCACTATTTACACACACACAACACAAGTAAACTGTGAGGCGTTCAATGACAATCTGTGTATTAATTAAAGAGACGATGATGTGTTGTTGGCATTTCTTTAATAAACATTTGCCAAAGGAGGGGGGGAGGGGGACAAAATCATTTTAGTACAAAAAAAAAAAAAAGAAAAAAAAAAAGACATCGTTTCCTTTTTGAGCTCGGGTTATGTGTGTGTGTGTGTGTGTGTGTGTGTTTTGTTTTGCTCATGATTTACAACACCTATTGGCAAAAAGGCAAGTGGAATCCAAAGTGAAAATAGCCTTTTCTCCATTACAGTCGGATCAGATTTGCCGCAGTTGTCCAAGTGCTATCAGTCTCTCTGGAACTAACAGTCCTTTTCCTCATAGAGCTCCCTGTGCTGATACCTACCGCCATCAACCCAATCAACTGAGCCGTCATCGTTTCAACATAATCACCACCATTAAAAAAAAAGAAAAAGAAAAAAAAAAAAAAAAGGACACTACATTACTGCTCATATTCCTAATTGTACAGGTAAAGCACATCATCCATTTCCTCTCGTAGCTAAAACTGTTTCCGCCTACTTCAATCAGTAGTGCAAAACATTAATACTAGTCTGCCCTGGAGCAATTACAGACAGGCTAAAGGTAGAGATTTAAAATTTACCTGTCTGATAAATGTACACTCAAAAAAGGTAAAAGTTTAATTTAAAAGACAGCAGAATAGATTACAAAAAAATATGAAAATGGTATGAGCAAGAAAAGCTCCTCCGGGGGTTATTCAGCTGTCCTTCTGCAACGTACTCCACATTCCAGACTGAGGAGGAATACAATGCCTTACACAGATTTAAGTTATTACAAACTGAGTGTGCATCTCCAGATCCCTCTGGTCTGGCCTGAGAGGCTTCAGGCTCCAAACAGAGTCCTGTAGCCTTTTGTCCATTGTCACGTCAGATTTCCAGTCTTTCAGAAAGGCAGTCCTCGTCCTCTGATTGTTGCTGTCGAGTTCACGTGTGGGACAAAGCCTAGGGGTAGTGGTGGAGCACCGACTTGAGAAGGGGAACCCCAGGGTTGTCCCGGTGCAGGGATGGGTGGGGGAGGAGGTACACCATCCTTTCTAGCCATGGCGTGGTTGTACAGGTGGATAGCGCTGGGGTTGGGCTGTCCCTCCACAGGTAAGGGGCTGTGATTGTACTCAAAGCGGTGGTCCTTGTCCCCGGTGAACACCATGCTGCTGGGTCCAGTGGCTCCGGCGCCTGGGGGGAAGGGGTCTGGGTGGGCTGGGGCCAGAACCCCTGCGCCAGACGAGGAGCCCGCGGCCTGGCCGGGTCCGCTAAACACTTCTCTCAGTGTGTGAGGAGGCAGGCCGCCACCTAGCATGTGACCCATGTAACTGTCCCCAAACCCTGCAGGGGTGAAGGGTGGCGGCGGTGGGTGGCTGTACTCACCCCCGTATCCAGGCCCTTCTGCGGTAGGGAGGGGAGGGTAGTCCGGTTCTGGAGGTCTCCCACCGTCACCTCCACCCGCAGATGCAATGGGAGGAGCGTGGCCTGTCTTGGGCTCAGGTGGAGGCTGCCTGTAGTCCAGGTCAGCATGTGGAGGTGGTTCTGGAGGTTCAGGTGGTCTCTGGTCTGGGGGCAGGATCGACACTCCACCTACTTCAGACACTAGAAAATGAAATTATAACATTATACTAAGTATTGCGCTGGAAAATAATTTCTTAGTTTTATTAATTCAATGTCTTTTTTATATTTTATTTATCCATCTCCAACCTCCTTAAACTATTTCTTGTGTTGCTCTGACGTGAATGTCCTTGCTTCTTATCTCAGTCTGATCTTAATAAATGGTTTGGAAGAAGTAGATTTCTTGTTTCACACTAATGTTAATTGACAAACCTTGATCCTTCTGCTGATATACTCTAGTGGTTTTGTACATACTTGATATTCTCCATCTGCTGACCACTTTCCCTGGAAACCATTCGTGGTCTAATCTGTTTTCATTATACACGATTTCATCTGGTAAACCAATGTTCTATCACTGACATATGGTGAAAACCTTTTTTAAAACAAATGAAGGGAAAAAAATAAGTAGAAAGACATGATTAACAGATGAAGGGGTTACCTGGAGAGACTGGGCTGGGCTCTGGAGGCTGTTTGACCTCTGGAGGTAGAAGAGGTCCCCCTGGTGCTGCTCCTGCAGGGTTTGTGCTCTCTCCTCCTTCTACACCGTCACCTGGCTCCGGCCTCTGAGCCTGTTGAGCTTGGAGGAGTTGAGCCAGCAGCATCGTCATGGCTGTCTGAGTAGCAGCTGCAGCCTCGCCTTCTGGAATACCCGACGGTGCGGACATGGGGGGTGAAGGAGGCTTGGGCATCGGGGGTGTGCGCGGCACTCCTGCAGGAGCAGCAGGCTGGGGAGGCTTGGCGGGTGTAGGCTGAGCAGGAGGCTCAGCTGGGTCAGTGGGAGCTAGGGCTTTGGAGAGCTGCTGTAACGTCTCCTGGTTGACCTTTGTGCTCATGGACTGGACAAACTGGGCCGTGTTGACTGAGCTCTTGGGCTGGCCGAGGAAGTTCAGGAGGACGGCCAGCTGCTCCTGTGTCAACTGGGAGTTTGGACCCTTTGGGTCTTTAAGAAGACAGAAAAATAAGCTAAGCATGGGGGTTCATTCTTAACCTTTGGGACACATATCTGGGATGAAATACTCTAAACTCAAGGTTCATTCACCAGCTTTATTAAGAGCTGTCAGACTGTTTCAAATATTAATACAGGAAATGTGCTGTAAATCATAGTGAATATTATAACCCAGTCTGTCAGGTTGTGCACATTTTTAAGACCTTATAATTCCCATTTAAATGGCAATATCACTCACAAGTGTAATGAATGTGAAAATAAAAACAAGTTTAACAAATCAGACTACAGGTCTGCGTGACCTGACTGAATGAGCTTGGTTCAGTGTGTGGTTTATACACATGACCTTCAGAAGACACAGGAAAGACAGATTAACTAAGTGAGTAAGTGAATGAGTGAATTACGTCTCTGGATCAAACAAGTTCTTTATTTAAAAACCATTTACTTTGCAAAGCAACAAAGTGAAACTGGCAAGTTCATCTAAATTTGAGTATTTTCATCCATATTTCCCAAAGCCACATACATGAAGTTACCCGTTTATTATGTGCACCAGTAAATTCCATCATTCTCAAATCATATCTATTTGCATAGCACCTTTGGCAACTCAAATAATTAGACAGCGCAAATATAAATAACAGTCAGACTCACCGAGCAGTGCAGAAGCTGCAGCATTCTGAGCTTTGATACCTCCAGGAGCAGGGAAGCCCTGGGGAGTGTTGCTGCGGCTGTCGTCAAGGCCCAGCTCTTTACGAGGCGCCTTAGGGGCGGCCAGCTCCTCTGGCATCTGCTTCTGTCGCCGACGTTTCTTACTCCACAGCTCGTGGCAGTCCTGCCACAGTGGAAGACTGGAGAGATGGGAAACAGTTGACAAAGGGGAGGAAATGTTAAGGATTTGGGAGCCATGGTTACACACAGTAGGATCAACGCGCTGACAACATGAAAACATACTCTGGTGGGGGCATCTTGTCTGGGTCCACATCCTTGAGGAACTCGCTGCCTAAGGCTTGTTCAGCTGTGCAGCGTTTGCTGGGGTCCAGGTTTAACATGTGGTCAAACAGATCCAAGGCAGACGGAGGGATGCTGAGCAACAACAGAAGCACAAGGTCGCGGTAAAATGCACTGCTGGAAGGCTCAGGCCACAAATATATGATTAGAGGTCAAGGACACTGACTTACAAAGCAAACTCCTCTCGTAAGCGTCTCCTGTACTGTTTCTTTGGTTTCATGGTGTTGAAGAAGGGAAGCTTTATTACATCTGGCCAGACAGCAGGACAGGGGCTGCCACATATTCGGCTAGAGGGCAGAAGTACAGAAATGTATTTGTTGAAGCAGAATACAGCGATAATAATAATAATAATAATAATAATAATACAGCAGTATTTAAGAATATCTGTCAACACCCAGAGAACTGGCCTGACTTGTTGCTTTAGAAACGGCATCATGTTTTGCGTTCACTAGAGTTTATTTTCTCTGTGTCACCAGTGTTGTACCCCGCAAAATGAGGAAGTCAACGGGCGAGCAAGTAAAAAACGATACAGTCGCGCTTATAACTTTGCAAACTTTCAGGATTTTTACTTTCACTGCCTTCACTTCTTCTCTAATGTGGGTGCGACAAAAACAAGTGAGGCCTGTTAATCAAAACACTTCTCATGGCTGCACGGCGTTATGGTCAGCTGAGACCATCAGTAGCACCGCTTCCTCTTCCTGTTTTAGATGTGGGTGCACCACTACATGGGAACTAAAACCTACAAGTATGACATTAACATTTTTAATGTACATCTACACTTACCTGATAAGCTCTAGCTGGGCAAGCTCCTGATTAGCTTGAAAGATGGGTTTCTTTGTGAAAAGTTCTCCGAGAATGCATCTGTGACACGCAAAACAAGACATGATTTATGATTATGAGAACAAAACAGTGACACTGAGCCGGGAGACAATCAATAAACACATGTAAACTTAAGTCCAGATGAGTCCTGCTCTTACCCGCAGCTCCACACATCAATAGCAGGCGTGTACCTCTCTTCCCCCAGGAGCAGCTCCGGGGGGCGGTACCACAGTGTGATCACTTTGTTGGTGTATGGTCGACTGGAAAGGAGAACACAGATTATTATCTTGAATCACACACGAGGATGGAAATAAAAAGATGGAAGATGAAACTTAGATGCGGCAAGAAAGCTGTATCCAATAATATAGGAGGCCCACCTCTCTTCAGAGTTGTACAGCCGAGCAAGACCAAAGTCTGCGAGCTTTATTTGACCTCTGATTAGGAGGAAACAAACAATATTGATTAAACTTATCTGGAAAACATGCTTGACAATGCAATACAACATAGCGAGGGTGTTCATTCTGGTTGACTGCGGAGACCCACTTGTTATTGAGCAGAATATTGGAGCACTTGATGTCTCTGTGCAGAAAGTTCTTCTTGTGGCAGTAATCGAGACCCTCCAGCAGCTGTCGCATGAAAGACTTGATGTGGCTCTCGTTGAAATGAACCAGGCCGGACTCGAGCAAACCCATTAGGTCGTGGTCCATGTATTCAAATACAAGATAGAAAGCACCTGAGATGGAGGGAGAAAAAAAAAACACAAGATTTAATCATCAAAAAATGGCCACACATTAAGAGAAAGCTATAGGATCGTAGAGTAACCACGATTATACCTTTATCATTTTTAAAATCCAGAGCATCCTCCTTGTCCGTGACAATCTCCTTCATGTTTATGATGCTCTTGTGGTTGAGTTGTCGCAAAATTTTAATCTCTCTGATGGCTGTGATGGGGAAGCCCTCCTTTTCATTGTCCAGTCGAACCTTCTTCAAAGCCACCATTTCAGCTGTGAAACAGAGGGAAGAACTGCATCACAAAACGAGATCACAAGCTGGTCTCACCCTCAACAGATCTATCCATTATTTTACCTGAAAAGAACAGGGACAGTGGATCCACACTTACGATGCGTTTACGAATGAACACATATGTTCAGAACACTTACCAGTGTCTTTGTCTTTAGCTTTGTACACCTGCCCATAGGTGCCTTCCCCTGTGATTCCAATGATCTCAAACTTGTCCACGCAGCGTTTGCCCCAATCAATCTCCGTTTCCTTAATCTCACCGTATCTTGGGCCACAAATTCTGCGAATTTACATGAAAACATTTCAAAGGAAGCAAAGAGACTATACAACAAAGAGTAGCAAAAGAAAAGACGAGAGAGCATTAAATGCACCATAACATACTTAGGTCTTCGGCGAACTGTTTGGGACTTTTTGTCCTCAGGTGGGCTGTGTGGGGAGGATGTGCCACCAGGAAGTTCAGGGGGGAGGGGCAAGTCGCTCAGAAGCTGACGGGCCTTTCTCTCTGACTTCTTCTTCCCTGAGAGCGAGCTGTCCTTCAAGCTGATAGCAAGAAAATGCAGGAGATAAAGAGATGGTGAGTGTGCGAGTAAGTCTCAACAATCAAGTATAAAAAGGTGCATAAAAATTCAAGGTCAACTGTCCCAACAACACACACATACCCTTCTCCTTTATTCATGTGCTCAAGAACCGTTTGGGGCAATGATATGGATGGCAGAGTAGAGACGACAGGACCAGTGGCTCGTTCCTTGTCTTTGCTCTGTCCAGATGCTGGTGCTTTCCTCTTGTCCCGATGCACAGAGTCATCCTTCCCCTTCCCGTCTCTGTCCCTGCTGGTCTGGTGCTCGGTGGTCCTCTTGGATGACCTGTCAGAGGGAGACTGGGGCTGGCTGGACGTTGGAGTTCTGGGACCTTTCTCTGGCTGAGGTGGAGAAGGAGGGCGGCCCTTCCTGGATGTGTGGTTAGACTTGGGACTCGGTTGGTGAGCAGATGAGGAACCCTTGGTTGGAGTAGATGTGTTGCTGGAGTTCTTGGCTTTGGCAGCGGCTTCAGCAGCTTTCACCTTTTTCTGCTTACTGAGTTCAGCAGCAAGACTGGTTTTGAAGGTGAGCGTGCTTGGCGAGAGGCTAGAGGGGCGACTGCGGGAGCGAGAGTGGCGGTGACGACTGCGAGAACGTGAATGCCTTGAAGATGAATATGGACTTCTGCTACGTGATCTAGCAGATCGCCTGGAAAGGAAATGAAAAAGACACCTTTGCATATTTTGCTCCTTCATTAAAAACTTTTCCACATGACTGCTTCATTTACTTGCACAAGATGAACAAAATCTGGTGGATATCTAAGTCTGAGTGTTGTGCCACGTACAGAAACATATCAAGCACGTTATTACAGCCATTCTGCCAATTGTGCAATATCACACAAGGCTGATCAAAGTTTTTTGCAGTTTCACAGGTATGCCATCAAATAATGAAAGAAAACACAGGCCCTCAATAGATTTTAAAGTTCTAACTTTGTTCTCATTGGAGAGCACGATCATTTTAAACTCGAAATTTACAACAGCTGTTGTGAAGGATTAATGCTAAGAGCTAAGATTGGGTAAAGAAAGGCTTCACTGAGAGGCAAAATTCTGGCATAATCCTAAATCACTCTCTGTTAAATGTGAAGCAGTGCTTGCTTATTAGAACAAATCAAATGAATACACCACACTATTAGAGTACAGGCAGCAAACACTAAACACACTTCATTCTATTAGCTGCTTTGTAAGAACTCACCTGACATCTGGACTTGGGCTCAGGGACTTCCTGTATGGACTTCGTGATCTCCTGCGGTTTCCATAAGGACTTGAACCAAACTCTCCTTGTTCATACGGACTGTGTCGGCCATAACTAGGTGACCTCCGCCAGTTCGCTGGGCTCACAGGGGATCGCTTCCTTTTGTTGCTGGAGTATGAACTGGGTGACTTTGGCATGCCATAGGCCCCATACACATCTACATCCCGGCTGTAATATGTGGAACTGGGAGAGAGTCTTTTGCTCCCATAAGTTGGACTTCTTCTAGAAATCAGCTGGTTATAACCACCAGGAGATTGGTAGCTATATGAGTATGATGTCCCATAGGGACTTTCTGCTTTGAAACCAGGACTTCTCCTGTATGCCCTGAGGTCTTCACGGTCATCTCTGTACGATTGTGGAGCATCTCTGTATGCAGATGGGGGCTCTTTGTCGGATCTTGTTTTACTTCTGTGGCTTTTTGAATCCCTTTTATCTGCAGATTGTGAGGGCTGAGATGTAGATGTTCTCTTACCATTTCTGTCATTGCTCCTTGTAGTGTCTCTGTGATTTTTAGAGCCACTCAGGCTTCCTCCACTCCGAGCTTTTGAGGAGTCTCTCTCACGACTCTGGCGGTCTTTTTTCTTCCCGAGCTCCTTCTCTTGCTTGCTCCTTTCAGATGGTCCTCTTGTTTGTTCGTCTTTGCTGAGGCACACTGCCTCCCGGTCTCTCGGCTGACTTCTGTCTGGGGATGCTGGTCCATTATAGTCACCAAACTCAACATCACTGAGTCGGTCTACTGAGAGACGGTCAGCATGGGGGTCAAGTTTAGGAGAGGGGCTCCCAGAAAATCGCTCTGACTGGGAGCTCACGTCGTCATACTCTACCAATGTCCGAAGTTCAACCTCTTTTTCAAAAGTGCTTTTTCGATCATTGTCATGGTCTTCCGCTGTACCACTATGCCACAAGTCTCTTTCCTTGGCCTGCCTGCGTTTCTTTCTCCTAGAAGCCGATGACCGCCTCTTCTCACGGTGTCTCTCTCGCTGAGCAGCACCGCTCCCTGGTTTACTACGCCTATCCTGCCTGTTAGCATTTCTCTGTGCAGAGGGGCTCCGTCCCCGACCCTCGCGAAGCACGTCTGAATTAGGCATTTATCTACGAAATAAACGCTATAGCCACGTTGGGAATAATGTTAATATTATGTACTTTACCTAAGCTATGTCCCTTGTTGTGTCGTGAAACAAAACATTGGGCTAGCTGTGTAACAGGCTAGTCAGCTAACGCTACAGCTATTTCACAATTAGACAGCCAGCCAGCTAGCTAGCTAAATCACGAGCTTAACATTAGCATTTAAAAGCTAGCACGATCGAGGTTCCAGATAAAGTGAGTTACACCAGACTATTATTAATGAAAATTAGTGCTAGCAAATTCCGTCACATAAAATCCACAATATGGTGCTTAGTTATAGAGACAGTCGATACTCAACCATTGTACTCCAGGACGGACATCTCCCAGATATGCTAGCTAATGCTAGTCGGTTTAGCCAGCTAGCCTCCACTAGCTGTGTCCAGCTACACAGTCGCATTCCATTTCATGGTCAAAGCACAGGCCCAGAGCCCATCCGAATTGAAAATCCAGTTCTTCTGAAATGTTGCAGTTCATTCAAGCATGTAGATCCATTCACTGGATAGTGTTAAAGTGGAGGTAAAAAACTCCGTCTCCTCCTCACAAACTTCTTCTCGCCTTCCATCGCACTCCAGTGTGCAACAAGGAAGTGAATAGCACGCGAGTTGCTGGATAGCCGCCGCTAGCAACTTAGCCAGTTAGCTTTCTTTTCTCCTTGCGTGGAGTTCAAGGCAACTCAGTCAAGATGCATTAAAACAATGCCATTCAAAAAGACGTCTACTCCCACGTATCCTGCCGGGTCGTTGCCCCCTCTGACAACCGCATTGTCCACAAGTAGCACACGTCGTTCCGGGCAAAATGGCTCAAAAATCCCTTTAATTTATTTCAAAATACTGTAACTTTGTTCGAATGTGGCTAACGTTGCAGCTCGCCTGGGCCCAGACAGCTTTCAAACTACAGGCCTTGTGCGTCGGTGTGGACCAATGATACGCGTGTGCGTCATCAAACTCAGTGGTTACGTCACCACTACGGGAAACCCCTGACCCCTACCCTCAAAATATAACCCCCGTTTTTCCAGTTAATTGAGGATCTCGGAACTTGGTTTTACCACAGAAATTCTGTACACCTAATAAAGTTAGAAAATAGGTGTAAAAATCTTACGTAACATGTACACCGCTAATGTTTTTGTTTTCACGCTTTGCTGAGTTTTTTTCCTTTATTTGATGTTTCATTTAGAATTCTTTTTTAAAAATAATTATTTTCAATATATATATATATATATATATATATATATATATTTAGCCTACTTATTTTTTTTCACTTATCTATATTTTACTAGAGATTTACTTAAGGATATTATGTGTCTTACTTAATGTATGGCCTTTACATATTTAGATGTCTATATATTTTATCATGTACAAATTGATAAATGAAATTTAAAACAGTAAGCTGAAAATATAACTTAATAATAATATAAACCAATAAAATGCTATGTTAACAAATGCATATAAAAAGCGTCTTCTTTTCCATGCGCATGGATGCACTACTAGATCATTTTTCATAAGCTGTAATAGATTTTGAGTAACTCGTTATCTGAAAAATACTGGTATGTTCATACGATATGTTAGAATTGTCTTCAAAGGGAAATGCAGGTCTTTCAAATCACTTTCTATCAATCATTGTTATACGAGAACATTCACAAACTGCAAAGTAGCCATGTCTGTTCTATGGTAAATCAATACTTACCCCTCCTGTCCTCCATGACATTGGCATAGTCGAGCATTAGGAAAAAACCTATATGCAGCACAAAGAATCAGTGTGAATGTGTAAACAGATATGGGCGACACCAAGCTGTCTGTGCTTGAAAACATAATACAGCACTACAAGGACAATTTAGCAATGTCACATTCCACCTTAATAAACTACTAACAGTCTGTCTCCTCGCCGCAATAATTCAAGACATAAATCCTCACACAAAGAATACTAAGTACATCGGGAAAATATTATTAGTAATATCCACTTTATTTGCCATTTCCAAATACCTCACAAAAAAATGAATTGAAATGTAAGCTTCACCTCTTGCATTCACAAACAGATAGGCTACATTAGTGGTTATGTTTAAAATAAGTAAACATGAAGGTAACATTTAACTGATGGCATACATACAACCATCCAATCAAAGACATGGATATCTATTTTATTTTTTTTTTTATTCCAAGGGTATTTATATAAAAGGCAAAACAAGTTATTTGAATACCCAGTAGGACAATTTGCTCATAGCTTTCACACAAACATCTGTTTTAGTATCCAGCTGAAAATATTTGGACCATCGAGTCTATTAAACTATTCATGAGGACAAAGAGAGAGAATGATTATGAATTATGTTTGCTCCTGGAAAAGCACTGAAACATGAATGAGACTGTGTTAAGCCAATGTTTGAGTAAGCAAGCACTACAGTGGTCAATGTAAGTATAGTAGCTTCTGCCATCCTCAACAATGTAAAACACAGAGCACTTGATTAATGCAGTGGCCGTAAGCTAAGGAAGGTGTGCCATAACAAGACTGTGATTCTTGCGCTGCATGTCCGTTTTTGTGCCTGTCACTTTAATTTTCAGGGGCGTTTCAATCACGGTGCGCTGGAGGTTAGCCCTTAGAATATATTAAACCAGACTACTTTCCAAACATTCTGATGCCATGGGTTCCTAATATTTTGCCTTAAAATCGGGTCATATATCCAGTCTCACCCTCCATTTTTTAAAACTCAAACTCTCTCTACTGTGTGCTTTTCAGTAAACATTTAATCCCACAGACATTCTTAAGCATTACTATCTTTCTGTACAATCAACACACAAAATACACGACAAACAAAGCCTGTAATCAAAAGACATGGATTCTAACGTGTTTATCTATTAGCTCAGGAAATCAATGAGACATTCTTCTTCACGCTTGACAACTTTTGGATGATTGTTGGATTTTCTAAGCTGTGGTCAGATCTCTTAACCGCATTCAAGTTCAAGTGCTTCTACTTCACCAAGTCTTATTAAAAGTAGTTTGAGCACAGTGACAATGTTTTGAACCGTTTCCAAAGTTTCTCGTCCTCTTTGCAAATACACCAATTACTTTTGCATAGACTCCATTGTTGGGCATTCTACTGGTCGCTGGACTCCTTTAATGTAAATGTTGAGCTGTTGCTGTTGGCAATGCAGACAGACACACACACACACACAGACACACAGACACATACACACACACACATTCACTCTTATGTTAATAACCGAAAACTGGATCAGTGTGAAATGTGGAAAAAATTTTGAAAAACAAATAAAATAAGTTATTTTAAATAAGTTAAAAGTGGTGGATAAAGAAAGATGGGCTCAGTCATGAAGGGAAACTAAGAGCGGCAGATTTCATGGTGTGTTTTGGTCGATGCAATTTAGCTGTTAATCATGTGCTGCATTCTCATTTTGCCAATTCTTACACTGCATTAATCTTCACTTTCTTTGTGAAATGATTCAACTACAAGAGCAAGACCAAAGGAACATGTCAGGTATTTCATTAAGATGCCGCTACAGCATTGTAACATTAGGTAGGCTTGCACAAAATGTAACAAAAAGGTAAACAAAGTAGAATGTCAGTGACCTCTAAACTCTGCACATCATTGGCAGCCGAAGATTACAGGCAAACAGGATGAGCGTGTGGGGATTATTCACATTCACAACGGACAGAGAGGCAACAGTGATGCACTGTACATGAATTACCAAAGCCCTCGTAACCTTGCATTTCTTCCCTAAGCCATTTCGAATATAATCCTTTCACTTCCCCTGACGCACTTTCAACCTCAGCCGCCGTCAGTTTCACAAAGACAGTTTTTGCACCAACAACACGGTGCTTTACTTCTGATGCTTGCCACGTTAAGATGTTGTACACTTCAATTAAAAAGTGGGCACTTGTTTGTACTAGCTAGCGTATTTCTTTGGTGACTGAGAGCAACTTTTTCTTTTGGATAGGTACCACTTTACGTCTATCAAGCCTGCATTCATTTTTGACATTTTCTACCTTAAAATTATTCTAGCCATCAATTTATTCCCACTTTAGTTCCAATTTTAATGAGTACATTTAAATTAAAAAAAAAGATAAAAGAGGGGGATTTAAAGTCTGAGCCAGGAAAAGTAAAAACTGGCAAAATAAATCTTTACATGTCTGGAAGCAAATCATTTCATCAGCATGTGTTAAAGACGGCATGTAAAGGATGTAGTGTTTATGGAATCGCCTTTTATCAGAGCACCAGGGATTCCGTCATCGCAAAATAAAAAGGCAATGGAAGTCATTAGCCGAGTGAGGTAAAACTTCTGAAATGTTAGAATTGAAAAAAGTTCAAGTGTTGTAAAATCCCTCACAGGTTTAAGGGTAATGATCAATGTTGTTTGTGCATTTTGAGAAGACTCAACAAAGTGACTGGAAGGGGAAAGAAAATTAGTGCCCTTAGCTTACGCTGGTTGATATGATAGAGGAGAAGAAAACAAAAGAAAGAAAGTTTGACTTTACACATACAAAACAAAAAAAGTGTTGATAACCATACCATGTAGTAAAATTGAGGTGTAAAACGACAAAGAGGAATGGCATCAAATTTCAGCTCTGGCTTAGTTTAACGCAATGAACCTTCAATTAAAATGCTTCCGAGATTCACCAGTGCAATGTACATCTCCTTGGTGGCACTTGATGAATTCTGGGTTGACACTACACTGCTGAGTCTGTTCATTTACATTTCCTACCAAAGACCGTGGACTAATTATATGAAGTGGGGCTTTCCAGTATTGAGCTCCAGTTATATCCCCCCCCCTCCCATTTAAACCTTGGCTCTGACACTTTCATTTTATCTTTTCTTCTGAACTTGCACTGCACAGTTGTCTGAATATATTATACACATCAAACTTTACAATGAAAGGTTTTTGTAACATTTCATGGCTTAGCCTCTTGTCAAGCTTAGGCCTAAATTAAAACACCATCCATTTATTACACTCTGCAATGTGGCCAGAGTAAGAGAGAGAGAGTACATAAGTTATTTGGAGTGTCAGCACATAAAAAGTTAGAGCTATAAATGGTGTATGGAGTGCCACCTTACTACTCCCTGACACACGGTCAGATGTCCTGTTAGCCAGGAACAGAAAGTCATGGTCAGGTGTGGGCACAAAATAAATGCAAAAGTCTGAGAAATGTATATGTACATAAGCAGATATCCTGCTCTCTGTTACCACTATAAAATACAGCATCTCTCTCTAATTCTCTTGGCCAGACTTTTACTTTTCTTCTTCCCGTTCTTCTCTTTGCTGTCCTCCATTTTCCTTGCCCGGATCTCTCTCATCAGGTCAAAGAACACCTGTTAAAAAAAACAAACAAACAAACAAACAAAAACAAAACAAAAAAAAAACAAGGGCTCACATTTCTCTGATAAAGATCAAATAAGTTAACTCAACCTTTACCAAGTGGAAGATTGTGAGACTAACCTTGTCAACATTGGCACGGGTTTTGGCAGAAGTCTCCACATAGCACACGCCCCACTGCTCGGCGCGAGCCTTCGCCTCGTCTGCGCTAACCTGCCGTCGGTCGTCCAAGTCGGACTTGTTACCAACCAAGAGAAAGGGCACGTTCTCATCCTCCTTCACTCGCAGAATCTGCTCTCTGCAAAACAGGAAATGCCATTCAGCCACAAATTATGTAAGTAAAAATACTGACTCACAGCATTGTGCCCATCACGGATCAAAAAGTCCAAATTACAGGTCTTTTCACAAGGTTAAAAAATGTCAAAAAAGCCAAGCATTTTAATGTAGAGAAATATAAAAAACAGTAAAATGTATTGAAGTCTAATGGATGACAAAGTTTGGCATTAAAATCAAAGCATGCCACTGCACCTGAAGTCTACTGTTGCAGCAAACGATTCCAGTTCTGTGATGGAGAATACACAGAGGAAACCCTCGCCGCTGCGGAAGTAGTTATCCCGAATGGCTGCATAGTCCTCTTGTCCAGCTGTGTCAAGGATGTCAATCTGTACCTCCTCTCCGTCCAGCACCACTTTCTTCCTGTAACTGTCTGCTTTGGTTGGCTCATAGTCTTCCACAAACTAGGTGGGGGGAAATAAAAAGATTCATGAGACCTTTTTTTCACCTCAAAAAAATTGTAGTGTAGTGGATTGTAACTGGACAGCTGAGGTGTAAGTTACTCACCTCATCATACATGAACTGGAGAGTGAGGGCCGATTTCCCCACTCCTCCACTGCCCACCATAATCACTTTATGAAGGGCTAGTGAATTCTGCCCCTTTGGCTTAGCAGCTGCCATGGCTCTGTGTGCTGAGAGATCAGAGTGCGAAAGGGAGAAAGTTCAAGGTGGAGGGAAGGATTGTGAAACGAAGAGGGTAAAAAAAAAAAAAAAAATCAGTCCAAACTGCAGCTGCAACAATGAGCTGAAAGATAATTCCTGGGGAGACAGAAAAAGGAAGAGAGAGAAAACAATCGTAAGATGTTTCATCATCACTTCTGGGGCTCCAGATTCCATTTCAGCAGTTAGATTGCACAGCCATCAGTGTGTCTCATGGCAATAAATCCCTCCACAATAAAAATTCAACCAGTAGAAACAGCCATTACACTAAAAATGTAGTGCAGGGGATTATTGTCTGTCCCTTGTCAAGACTACAGCAGACACAGAAGGACAATGACAAATGATTGATGTATCAGAAACTGCTTTATAATCAGCATTTGTCATTATCAATCCTTCGCTGTAGCCATGTTCCTTAATGTGATAGCAGTGAACACCGTCCTTCTACTTCATATTTAATTGGCAACAAAAAAGTCACAGAAATAATTTCATTGCTGAAAAATTAATTCTTCCTTTAAAATATCTGCATGAATGTGAAATTTGAGGAGAGAAAAACTGTCTGCCAGAAAAGTACATTCAAGATCAATATATATGTATTTATAAAAAATACAAAATCAGAAGCCGTCTTGTGATTGCAATCTGTGGGAAAACACTGCTTTTGGCATCATTTGAGAAAACCTACTAAGATGGATGACATGCAGATAAGCAAGCATAAATACTACAAATTCCACTAACCCTAGAGGAACTTGTGAAAGCCATATGGCAAAGAAATAAAACTTTGAAAAGAAAAAAAAAAAAAAAAAAAAAGCTTCTGGGTAAGAACTGGCAGTATTTTCTAAATTCTGACAGGAGTGGTTAAGATCTGACATGCCACAGCGATTTAGTGATCGGTTTCCCATACTGGACTGTCCAAGAAGACTATGGAAATGACATGAGGCCAACACAGGCCAACACAGACTTCTGAGGATCAGGGATAAATATGGGAATACAGCCAATAGGTCATTATACAAATTAACCAAAAGGTCTGCACACTGAAAGTCAATATTAGGATTTAGTACAGAAGACAATGTCCTTTTACTTTAACCATTTAAACACCCACAGTATTGAAATAAATCTCCTGACAAATGACTTTAAGGATATATTAACCTGAGTGCAACTTTATAATCAATATAAAGTGAGTGAAAACAGCAACTCAAGGCTTTTAAGTCCAGAAGAAACGTTTGTAATGAAACTATTTCTTAACAAAGTTACTTGTGCAAGACAGTTAAAGATATACAATGACAATAGCCGGTATTTAAGTTACAATTGCAGCCACAATAATAGGTGTAATGTCATGATACACGCTTAGCAAATCTATCAGCGGATCATTATTTGGCAACTAACGGCTAAATAACGCTAATAACACGGGCACGTCAAGAAAATAATAAGATGAGGTGAAAATATTAGCTGAGAAAGTGACAATTTTATTATCATAATAACAAATACTGATAAATAACAAGTGTACAATACTCTAATAATCAGGTTAACTTATTAGCAAGTTAGCTGCTGACATGCCAGATTGACTACAGTGGGCGATGTGGCTAACAAGCTAACTAACCTACCAAGCAGGTTCACCTGATCGTCTGCTAGCCGGTAATTACCACCTGCGGAAGTTCAAAATGAAGGCAGCGGCTAAAACGACACATTAAAAATCAACACAAATTCATAAAACAAGATACCCAGCAACAGATGTTCGAGTCGACGCTTTCAAACTCAGCAGCTCTCCCTCCTCGCTAGCGAGCTAGGGTGGCCAGCTACACAGGGAAAAGGCTAGCAGGCGGATAACAAGCAGCTAATCACAACTAAAATGATGCGACGCGGAAACGGACGAAACGCGACCAGCGGCGACCGTTACAACAACGGCATCTGTGTGCACAACATCACCTACCGGTAGATTTAACAGTGTTCACCTTGGCACGGCGTTTGGTGAAGGCTGAATTATGGAGGCAAAATGCAAAAGACTCAGCTAGCTACTTGTTAGCTCATGGCTAGCTCCGTGGCTAACTCCAGAGGGTTGGCTGGCTGGTAGCTGTTAGCAGCAGACTGACTGCACGTCCTGTGGGCTTGGCTCCGTCTGACAACGCCCGCCCGCCTGGGAGAACCAGATAACACTCATTTTTACTTTTTCTTTGAATGTAACACCAATTTTCCTATTTATCAAAAACATGTTGCCAACATTTCCTAGATACCGTATCATTTCTGACTCATATTTGTTTTTCCGCGTGGTTGAACATTGCGTTAAATACAATACAGATTAAGGGCAGCGGTTGCCAGATAATTGATTAATTGGCTAATCCGCAGTTAAATGTCGTCACGTTTGCTCAGGAGGAGACTCTTTGTCAAGTCAGAAACACTGAAAGACACTTTCACGAGCCAGGTAATGTTGGTTTAAAGTGTTTTGCTGCAAAATGAGCATGACTGACTGCAAACACAACATTAACTGTTTATCTTTAATTCAAAAAATTGCACTTTAAAGATTCTCCACATGGCTTATACAAATCTAAGGGTGTGGATGCTGTAGTTTCTTTTTTCTTTTCCTTCAGAGATGAAAGCAAAGTCCATAATTTCTGACCTGCACCTGAAGTTTGCAGAGAGGACCTGGAAAGACACTTTTCAGCTTGTCCGGAGATGCATGGTGAGACAAATTATAGTCATTTCACTACCTTTGGTCGACTTCTAGCATGCTTTATTTTCATCTCATCTTTGACTCATTAGTTCATTTTAAACCCCCCCTCCTTTATGCAAATGATGGAGATCACCTAAAATTCTTATCAGCAGGGTTATTTGAGACTATCCCCTTATTTGTGTCTTGTGGAGAAAAGCGATGGCTTCTCTATAACATGATGATGCACTGTGAATCAGGAACTGGTGTGGTGATGCACTAAGAATGAGATCATGTATCCTGGAACACTCGAGTCTTTGTTGTGTGATCAGCAGTCTGTGCATCGACGGTTATCACGTCTTTCGTTGGATTCACTACTTATTAACCACATGGCACAGTGTGCGTTGTCAGCCTGAGCCTTTTGGAACAAAGCAAAGTTGCTTGACTGGTTTTCTCTCATTTTAATTAGTCTTCTTTATGGCCTTGGCTTGGTTAGGCTTCCTGTTTTGGCAAGATATTTACTATCTGTTGGTTTCAGTCATTTGCATTTGCAATGTCTTTCTTTACACAGATCTACCATTATGCTCCACTGGTTTGAATATGCTCCACTTGTAGATGTGTATTATTTAGCTTTGGGTTTCGGGGTCCGAACATGCAAAGCTTAATAGATTCCAATGTGTTTTACACCCAACAGAAAGTTTGCAAAGTGCTCTAAAGCTGTGCTATATGCTGGGGCGTTTGAGGAGAGGGTGGGTTAGTTTTCTTTAGATTTGTCATGGGTGGAGTAGCAGGGTACATAATACTTCTGGATTAATACAAAGTGGAGCTTGGCAGTGGTCAGTCTCTGGAGTCTAGTAAAGAAACTTGATTACTTGGTGGTCTGAAGGGATGTGTGGTCCAAAAGGATAAGGCAGCTGGGGTTAGTCATACAGCTTCCTGCCAGCACTGATGTTAAAAAAGGAGTCTTGTAGAACCAGTCTCAGGGCAAAGCAAAGTGTATTTGGACAGGAGCCAGGCTCTTAACCCATCCCAAAATGCAAAGCAACCAAATGTTAACACTTGTCTTTGCCACGGTGTCATGCAATTTGCGTGTTACATGGTGGGATGGGCCGACAGGACCAAAGAGTGTTTACATGAGGATGACATTGCCACACAACTGGTTCATTGTTGTGTTTTTTTTTTTTTTTTTCTTCTCTTTGTCTTCTTTTATAGGAGAAATCCAGAGATGAATCCAAACCCTGTGAGCCACTGGTTCGATCCCTAGAAAGACTCCAGGAAGAGTTCAATGGTAAATGAATAAACAATATACTGGTGATTTCTGTAGGTAATTCAGTATATGTATTCGACTTTACCTGTGAATAAGTCGGGCTGCATGTGTTTCAGTGTCCTCTATGAATACCATGAGGTCTCGTCTGGAAATGATTGCCAAACAACAAGGGTAAATAGTCGACCTATCAGTGCAGCAATAAAAAATAACGTTTCTCCTGTCACCTGTTGTTCTACTGATACATTGTGGTGACACCCATTTTCTCCCATGTTCCCGTTTTCTGTCTAGAATGGGCTTCCACGTCACTGAGGCCACATGCTACCTCACAGCCGACTTATTCTACCTGGAGGTGGTGTTGGAGCCGCACGGTGGGGTGGAGGAGGTGAAGGTGGCCCCACAGGGAGGAGCCCCTGTTGTAAGTGCTGTCTCCAGTGAGCCACTCGCAGCACTCCCCCTTTTTACTGTGTGTGTGTGTGTGTGTGTGTGTGTTAATAAAATGAAATTGTTTTGCAGTCCAGCGAGTCCCTTCTGCAGCTGCTGAGGTAAGAAGAAGCGCGATGGTAAATTTAGACTTTGACATTTCACTTGTAGCCACCAGTGCTGAACTAGAGATGAAGATGACAGAAGCGATTTTAAATGATTACCTAAAGATGAATTATTCTCTGGTCATCCACACAGGTTAAAGAAGTTTGCAGACTTCTCCATGAGCTTGGCGGCCCTCTTCACCCAGTACAACATGCCTGGAGACAAGTAGCCACTCCTCCTAACAACCTTTTTATCTTGCATTTATCTTTGGGCCACTTGTAGTCACATATCTATTTCTTTCTACCCCCCCCCCCAGTGAAATCAAATTAAAACTGTTTACATCTCTTCAATACCTCTGGAAGGATTTGCAGCAAATATCTCAATTGCCAAGGTGAGCAACAAGAAACACAAATGCCTAAAATCTTGTTGTGAGTATTAGAGCTCAGGCGATTAGTCGATAACGATTTGTCGATTTAATCAATTGTTTCAGTCGTTTTTCAAGCATAAGATTCTGAATATTTCCTGGCTTCAGCTTCTCAACCATGAGGCACTCTTCTTTTCTTTTTTTTTTTTCTTTCAGTCATTAGCTGTAAATTGGAGTCATTAAAGTTGTTCTGCTTTCAGGGCACCAAAGGACGGTGACCCCCAAATAGACATGATTAACAACGGAAGTATTGGGAGCCTAATAGCCGGAAAAGAAGGTAGAAAAGCAAAAATATCAGTTTTCATTTTCTCTAATTATTTCAGTTTTAAAGTGACCAAAGTTTCTCATTCCAGATTGCCCCCTGACTATCCAGTTCTTTATCGCCCCCACTGATGTAAAGAAAACAGATTCACGTAAGACGCCACAACACAGCAGGGAAACAAATACAGTCTCGGCTCGGTGGTAAATTAAAGTCGTTTACTCGTAGACCTGTTGATTTTCCCTCTGAACGCAGTGTTTGCACGCGAAGCCTCGGAAAGGCCGTTACAAATTTGAACATTTTCCTGAAAAGCTCTTGTTTCTGAAGAAACAACAGATATGAAGGCAGGTGTCCAGGCAGCCCAGGTGACTGTTGGCGTCAGCGATGTTACTCACAAGCTCCAGATGGCATCTGTGATCCCGCAGCCTCAACAGCTGGATCCCCGGGGGTAACGTGTTATTGTTTAATCTCTCTCTCATCGGGATAGCATTTAGTTTTACATCCCACAGTGAATGCGGATGTCGGTGCCAGTGGTATTAATATGGTGAAATTGTGTCCTGTGGCAGTTATCCTGTGTTCCTGCCGCCGAATGAGGTGCCAAACGAGACGCTGCCCGCCTGCTTTCTCCTCAAACTGCAGCCAGCTGTACCAGTGATTCTGTCTTTTGTCAACAAGCTGAGCCAAATTACAGGTGAGGTAACTGTTCACGGGAAATATTACATAACATGCACACTTTTTCTTTTCACGCCTGCTGTAAAGATGATGCTTAAAAAGAATATATCTTTATTTTTATTTTTATTATATTTTTTTTTTTTAGAAGAAGAAGGCGCTCTATCACATGCTCACCTGGTCTTCCTCTGTGATATTTCACAGATGTGACCATACCAGATGATGACCTGCAGTGGGCACCCTTACCCAAGCTTCTGATGAGAGGTTCACAGAGTGCAAACAGCCATGGGGAGACATCAGATGAGCAGGACACTATTTTTACAGTGGTATGTATGTATGTATGTATGTTGGTGTTGAGCTCAAAACAAAAGACAATTTGATTCAAGCTAAGTTATTGTACAAAACGTAGGTGTAATAATGACACATTTTTCTCTCCAGCCTCTTCCTGGTGGCGTGATGCACAGTTATATTTTCCCCGGAGCTGCATGGGAGGCGCCTGCGCAGAGGGGGACTGTGATGGACAGTGTTCCCTTCACTCGCCCCGCACATGTCCCGGCTATACTGGACCTGCTGCGCCATCAGTGTGTCATTAACACCCTGCTGAGGAGCTGCGTCTCGTCTCAGTGTGCCGGTCCAGGTGGGAGGGGGTTTCATATTGCAGAAATCACCAAGCAGAGACGGTCGTCCCTGCAAAGTTGTGCAATGTCTCATTGATGAGTCTCGATATCAGGTTCGGTTTGTGACCTGCACTTCGAAGTCCTCCCGGAGTCGGACACCAGCTTCTCTGTGACCTTCCACCAACCCAACACCGACTCCCTCGCTGTGTGTGAGCATTTACCACCAAATGCACCAAACGAAAAGTTAAAGTGTCAATATAGTTGTGTGAGAGCCTCCGGTTTATTTTTATTTTAGTAATTTTTCAAACCAAAAAGCAAAACATTCCCTGGTCCCAGCTTCATCAGATAGGAATGTGGCAAATTATAATAAGCATTTTCATTTTTTTTTTTATTTCTTTTAATCCATATTTTGTTAGTAATTCAAGGCCAGACCAAATGGCAAATATGACATAAACAATGTTATGTCTTAATGGTGCGTTTCTGTCCACAGTGCTGGTGAACGTGTTGGATTCTCATCAGATTACCTGCAGCTTGTTCGGAGCAGGAGGATGTGATCCGTCCATGGGTGAATACATCTCCACTGTAATGAAGAGGTAGGTAACTTTCCCTCCTCGCTCCACAGCTCTATGAGGATGCATATGTATAATTGATGGCTCTGGGGCCTCCCTTCTCAGTTGGATCAATACTGCAGCAACTGCAGCAAGTTTAAAAATGAAGTGATTTCAGAGTGATGTCTGAAGAGATCAATAGTTTTGAAAGATGTAACTTTAACCTAATTGAATTGTGTGAACACTGTGCCATCTTTCCCTTCCAGTCTTAATTGGATCACTCTGCTGTGTGTGTGTTTATGACTCAGGTGCATGTCCGTTCCTGTGACCCTGAGGACATTATACAGTAAGCTCGAGGAAATCACCTGTGCCCCACTTTCTCCCCCTGCCCGCCCGGCCGCCACAGAGGCCGAAAACGACCGCTCGACTCCCTCGAGTACCGCGGTGACAGACGCTCGCAGCGCCTCGACCGAGTTGTCCCAGGGTGCAGCCGTGCCAGAGGACGGCTTCAGCGTTTCCGGCTCTGCATGCTATGCCATGTCTGTCGCCGATTCTGAGCTTCCTCCTGAAATAAATACAAGTCCTGCTGTCAACCCTTACCCATTCACTGCTGTGGGTGTGTTTTCACATTGAATGGTCAACTGTCAGAGGTAATCTAAACCACAAACTGATTTTAAAACGTGCATTTGTTCCTCTTTTCTTCTTCTTTTTTTTTTTAGAATTGAATAAATGTTTTGGTAAAGAAGCTGTTTTTCCTTCACACATCAAATCAGGAAACAAGCCTCTGTTTTATTTTATTTTTTATTCTGAAGATGCTGTGTTATCCCTTATTGTATGATCTCCTCCATCTCCTGCAGAACGCTCAAGTGCTTCTTTACTATGCATTCCAGTGTGGCAGAGATTGCTGGCTGTAAAGGTTTGAGGTTTGGCATTTGACCTCTCTCCGACAGCCAAGAGCCCCTTTGATTGGTGCCGTGTGAGCCAATCAGACATTGTTAAAGTACACAATGCATTCTTGATAGCTCATAATAATAATAATAATAATAAAGTAGCCATCAACGCACTTCATTTTAAAAATAATAAAAGAGTAACTCTGCTGGATGCTTGAACAACATGAAGGATGTGGCTCGATTGTGTCGGCCTGATCAACATAATTAGTCTAGCAGCGTTTAAGCACTCTTAGTCACTTTTTCCTTTTGAGAGAGAAAATAAAGTTTTGCACAATGAATAAATGACATTTGGTGTGAAAGTGTGGGAGTTGAATACCTCTGTGGAATGGAAATTCCACGGTAACAAATCTCCTGATTACCACCGAGCACCCTGCGCACACAATTCTGCTTTTCCTGGGTGCCAGCCAAGACGGGTCTACCGCTACAGCACAAATATGACTAGTAGTCTGTATACTAGCAAATATTCTGCCATCAAAATGTGCCCACGTAAACCTCCGTCATGCACCTTCATTATAGAATAAACACCCCTATTTACCCTCCATGTTGAGCCGCCTGCAGCTCCATTGGCTGGGTGCATTTAGAAAAGAATTTAACATGTATTTTGAATATTGAGTCGACTGTCAACAGCTGACAACTGGTTGTGACCGGTGTTTACTTCTTTGGTATCCAATGACCTGTATGACTGTTAATTATAGAAACACCCCCAACATGTGTGGTTGAACCATTCCCTCCTGTCAGCAGGCCTTTATGCTCTGAATATATGAGAGCTTATGTGTCCTCAGTTCTGATCGGTGGGGGATGAATCTGGTCAAATATACATGTGATGACTTCACACTTTAAAATATAATAATGGGAAATAACTGATTGGGATTATGACTGCTTCTGACTGCCATGTGTCGTCATGTGTTGGGTTTCCACCACTGTCTCTGAGGCGCAGTCTCGGGCCTGTCTTTTTTGCCTTATCTTTTTTTAAAACGTCCACATCTCCCTCCTTGGTCTGCGGTCTCTTTAAATCCAGATCCAGTGGAGGAGAGCTGCGCGTCCTCACAAACTTTGTCTGGCCGCTGTGATTGCCCGCACTCCGCCTGATAAACAGCTGCTTACCATTTAGGGCACTTCTCAAAGTCCCCCCCCCACCCCCCCAACAACAAAAAAAAACTCCTCGAACTAGGACTTTTGTGTGTGTGTGAGTGTGTGTGTGTGTGTGAATAACTCTGTATAGCTGTGTCTGTGGATGTTCAGATATAGAAAGTCTGCACCGCTGGAAGCTCAAGTCTGGATTCTAGGTTTGCGTAATGCTGAGGCGTCCTCTGTTCAACATCTGGATTAACTATTTGGAGTCAGAGCTAGCGGCCCTGCACAAAAAAAAAAGAAGCTCTTGACTGTCTAGCATATCTTTTATGGAAAGACTGTCCTTTTTTTCTCTGGAATTTAACTCCTTTTGACAACCCCCCCGAGTTTTGCGCGTAGATTATGTATTCTTTAAAATGGGTGCGAACAATGGAAAACAGTATGGAAGCGAGGGTAAGTGCTGAAAATTACTACTTTCTTTTTTATTTGAATTCTCCTTTTGAAGAACGAGTTTGTATCAACCGTTCCCCCCCTTTGAAAAAAACAACAAAACCCTCCACGCTAAAAAATAAAAGAGGCTTTTACTTTACCGTCATTTACGACAGTTTCTCATTTGAGTCCTGCTAAACTAAAAATAGGAAACAATGTGCAGTTTATATTGGTGTGTAGCTTCCTTGAAGGTTGACTCTACTCATCAGTTAGCTAGCTTAAAACTAGCACATTCCCTCTATATCTTTGACTTTCTCACAGTGAGTCTTCTCTTATCTTGAGTGAAGTTTAAACTTTTTTAACACCCAACTCCAAAAACCCGTCCCAACCCTGAAGTGTGTGTGTGTGTGTGTGTGTGCTGTTACGGAGCTCGTAGCGACTTCTGACTGTTAATTGCGTACTTTTTAAAATACTTTTAAAGATGTGCAACGTTTTATATTCAACCCTTAAGATATAGGGAGACATCTGGTGGTCATATTGTAAGCCCCCCCTTTTTTTCTTTTTCTTTTTTAAACAAAAAGAACTATAATATACAACATAAAAGTTGAAAAACTTTAATTCCAGGCACTCTAATATGTTTTTACCCACAATTTAACTTTTAATTGTCTATTTATCTGCAGTTAAAGGCAGTTTACATTGTGCTATAATAAAACTGTATGAGGCAACATGTCCAAAAACTTATTTGACACAAGTGTCAGGCTTTTTGAGTTGAAGTCAGTAACAGAGGAGATATCTTCAGTCTGTAATAGTCACTTTAATCAGTCATACAACAGCTGACTTGGCAGGTTCAACAGGCAGCACCTTGTAGCCTAATTTATAGCTTGTATGTTTTTGTTTTGTTTTAAAGAAAAAGAGTAAGAAAAGAAAAGGTTTCTGCAGGTTTAGTGGAGGTGGGTCAAAGGACTAGTGTTTAGGTCTGTGGGCACTTAGTCATTCTTATCTTGATAAGAGCCAATTCCTGAGATTTTTGTCCACAATATCTTATCCTACTATTGTTTGATTTGGGGGCCATTTTGTGTACACACACACACGTACACCTCAGTGCCATATGATCACTGTGTATCTGACTGTGTTTGCTTTAGAGACACGTTGAAAAGATGTAAAATACCTGCAATGATGAACAACACGCTAACAAGTGTTAGCAGCAACCCCCCCCCCCCCACACCCTCCCCCTCATGTTAACCCCCCTCCCCATGAGGTGGTTTCTTTCAGGCTGCACCTAAAGGTGACCGGTTTTGTTCAGTAAGTGTTTGTGATGTTCGGTGTCTCTCCCGCAGCTGATTGCTGGATGTTGTCAGTGGGCGGAGCGAAAGAGCCGAGGGTCTCTGAGAGGACAGGTTAACTCACTCTGATCAGAAGGAAAATACAAATTCCTCTGGTGCCAGTTTCCAGATGCTTGTTACCTCCATATCAATAATGTGCCAATATTCGATTACAGCCCCCAAAAAAAGTAATTGATAACGTGATGATTATGGCCAAGCAGGGAGAGCATTCACTGCACTGTCCGCCTCACTCAGCTAGAAGCTGAAACCCAGGGGAAGACAATATTAGCCATTTTTCTAATGATGTTATGACGACCAAAATCTGGATCTGTTCACTCTAGTACCACAATATTGATAAAAATCTCCAAACATGGCATCAATGATCCCGGAATACCAACTCAGCAGGAAAATCAAACTCACCCTCACTGCTATAGGCAACAAGAACAAAGCCTATTACCCTTCATAGTACCCCTTCTGTCCTCTCTCCACCCCTCTCGCCCACTATCTTCTTCATCTAAGATGTAATCTTTCGGCATTAGTTATTCAGAAGAAACTGTGGCCCGGCTGCACCGAACACATCATTTCTGTCTCCGGAGCAGAAATGTTTGTATAAATAACATTCCAATGTGCTCTCTTCCTAAGTCAATAAGTGCAGAGAAAAGATTGGATCTCATGATGTTAAAAATAACATGTGGACCTCCAGCTCCACCTAGGAATCCAGCCCGTTGAGGTACACGGACAGATTATATCACAAAACCCAAAATCAAATCACCTGTCTGGGAGAAATATGACAAAGACTGTGCAGACTTTATTCTTGCTGCACAATAGTCACTGCCAGTGGCTCACATGGTCACTGTTATACCTTACTATGCAATTAGCACTTGACAAAGACACACATTACTCTCATTAAACTAAAGTAGAACTACTCAGTCTTTTGTGCTTTTTGTTAATGTGACATCACCAGATGTTAGGGGGATGATGTCAAACTCCCCCCAGTGAAAACATCTTTAGTGTGCTCACTAGGATTAATTTGATGAGTTTGAGATTGAAAACATTCGTCTTAGCTTTACAGTTTCTGGTTGAAAGTGCAGAGACGCGTGAAGAGATTTTGGAGTACAGAAAAGCTTTGATATGTTTTATAATTAACAATTTAGCAGTCAAAATGTAAGAATTATGAGCATCAGATGAGAGGTTGTTGCATTTTCTGGTACTTCACCGCAACATGGCTGTTATATATACAGTATATAATGTATCTCAGCCAGTTTTCTGAAGCATCAATTCCACTTTAATCCTCACTCCCCCCGTTCACATCGCTCTTCTCTGTCAGAGATACAACAGCACAGGAACTGGTGTATCTGTTTACAGTGCAACCAAACAATCTCAGATTGTTTTTAGTGCAGCAACTACTGTTTATACATTACTGACTATTACTGTTGATGATTTTCTGATCAGTAAATATTGAAAAAACGTCCATCGCAATTTCCAAAAGTCAAATATTTTTTTCTGACCAACACCCAAAGATATTCAGTTTACAATCATAGAGTAAACCAGCAGCTATTGACACTGGAGAAGCTGGAATTATAGAGAAAATTGTTTCTTAAAACTATTAATCAACTGTCAAATTAGTCACCAAATAGTTTTATCTTGATCGACTAATTGATTTATTGTTGCAGCTGCAGTTGCTCCCATTCAAATCGCTCATGCGTAGGTGCCATCACTGATGACATCACTTGATTTCATGACAATCACAAGGGATTATAACTTTATAGATTATGTACAGTGTACAGCACAGATACAATATACAGTATGTATTTCACGAAAGGAAATATTGCGTAGTATTCAAGGTATCATCATCCTCACA